ATGATTCGTACATTTTTCTTTTTTTGTCAATTCATATATGAGTTCGTAGTATTAATAAGCATCAATCCCACCCTTGTAACATAAGTGTACAAAATAGTAACGATAAGAAATGCATCGATCGAAAGAAAAACAATATTACGTATCTCCGAAATAAAACTAGATTTTTTAAAAAATCAATTCAACATCGGTTTAAGATTTAAAATATTGAAAAATTTATCGGAGATATTGACTGTTCATCATCACGATAATATGAGACCACGTCTCAGTACGCGCGTATACATCAATTTTTTACCATCGAAAAAACACTATGGAATTGAGCGTTTTTTATTGCACAATGCATAATTCTATAGATATCTTTTTACTTCTTCATGTAATAAGATCTTGTCATGAAATGACTATAATAGTTTCATATATTGACTCAGCTCCTTTTTTAAAGCAGTTACAAATTATAGCTTCAAGCGTTTTTATTTATTTTGTTCAATTAAGATGATTTCTTTTTTTATCTTTCTTTCATAATTTAAATAATACATTTCTTGACACTTTATTATTTTCTTCGATATATTCTGTTTGTTTTTTTATTATATATTTTTTCTATTAAATTCATATAAAATTTTTTATTATTATTTATTTTTATAAATCTTTAGTTATCGTTTTTTGTAGCGATGTAAATAATATTCGAAAAAATTTATTCTTTAAATTAACAACGAGTTTCTCTTTCGTCAATAAATATACATTAGGTATTTGGAGCCTAATGAATAATAAATATTTTGAATCAGGAATGAAGTATTTACGTAAGACAGTATTGCCTTTGCTATTAGATTATTGGCTTTCATATTTACAGAGGTCTGATATATATAAAATATTTATCGTGTTCGAGTGTAAGAAATATCGCTCGAAGTATTAAATTTAGCCAGGAAGTCGAGAGATGTTGTTATATTATTACAGAGAAGGATGTGCAATGAAACGATATATTGCGTTTGAAATATATAAGTAAAATTTTTTTAAAAAATGTTGCTTAGATTTTGTTTAGATTGTTTTTTCTCTATTGTACGAGTGCAGTGTGCGAATTTTAATTATGTCAGACCTTTTTACGTATATTGGAGAAATAATGCCATGGCCTATCTTAGTATTTAAACGTGAAAAGGGAATTGTGTGTGTAAATGAAATTTAATGTTATATGTGAATGCAAGTATCAAACAGTGGATTATTTTTCGTGCTTATACGGATTCGAACGTTGCAATCTGTCGTGCATAATATTCGTCTTATATCTTTTACGTACTCAATACGTACAGTAAATTATAAGATTATCAATGAGGAGATTATGACATGAATGGCTTGTTTAATTATTTTCCGTTGATATACGGATATAATAATAAGTATTCGTTTGCAGTTTTAACTTTCTCATCGAAAGAATTTATTCACGGATCGTAAAATCCATACATAAAGTGTATTCGCAATGTAACACAATGATAAATATTTCTTTATTGTTAATGACGTTGATTGTAATGAATACGGAAATATGTTGAGGAAATAGGAGACGAAAAAGCAGTTTATTAATTACTTTAGATGTTTTTTTTTTTTTTTTTTTTTTTAATAAGAAACTATGTTTTATTTTTTATTTTTACGAAATAATAGCAATATCTTTGTAAGTTACAATATCTTTGTTTTTCTTATCGAGACTCGATTATCATATTTTAGTGTACGCACAAAGTGCTTTACTTATATACGTAGGAACGGTGTGAAACTGAATAATAATACGTATTATGGTATGTACGCACAAGATGTGCACAAATATCTTGGCGCCACCGATTAATTCTAACAGTGAAACATATTTGCCTTGAGATAAAAATAATTTGTATTGTAAACGATGAAGGGGATAACGAAGGAATCTGGCTAGTTGCCATACGTAGAAAATCCACTTCGATATTCTTTAACGATAAAAGAAAAAAAAGTGATTATTGTATTTTATGACCAGTTGAACGTCGGACAGATTTAGATTTGATAATATTCTTCGTTAAAAAAAAAAAGTAAAGAAAAAAAGGAAAACTGCATAGATATCATTCGTCGAAGTGCAACGAAGTATTAAAAAAAGAAAAAAAAAAAAAATGAAAAAAAAAAAAAAAAAA